TGTCGTGTCTCGATTGGCATTGAAAAGACACACAGAAGAAATAATAAAAAAACAACAAAATGTAGAACATATGGTGTGCGAATGTGTTATAAAGAAACGTATTAAATTGATTACACAGTGGTTCAAAGTAATTTAACACAAATTTAGGAAATTGGGGGAGGTTGAAAAGAATTATATTTCAATGCGTTGTATAGAATTGTGACGTGACAAAACTAGACAAATACGTATATTGTAATTGCGCAGCTATGTAATACAAAGAGTATACACTGCGTAATATAATAAAACAATCTGTTGAATGAGCTTTCAACCCCATTTTGACAAACTTCGCACAGACCATTGACAACTTTAAACGGCGTAGTTAGAATATGGTCGGCATTAAGGATGAAAGGGGGTGTCACAATATGCGTAACGGCTTTTGTGTAGGAATTTGCGTAAAGAATAAAATAAATAGAGAACAATTAAACTACCAGCGATGATTTAAAATGAAGGCACAAGAATGCACCCTTTCCCATTTTTTTAATTTCGTTAAATTATATATTTCATTTATATGATGCACAAAGAAATATTCGTAAAAATTTTATTTTTAAAAAAGTTGAACTTTGTTCGCTTTAACCAATGTATTTTTATTTTAAATGGTTGCTTGTGACAAGTGTGTCGCGCCGTCGTTTCTTTCGGTCATGGTTAATGTTGTCTCTGTTTGACTTTTAATGAATTTTGCATTTACTTTGTCTGCCTTAATGTCTATCTAGTTAGCAATGCATATACATTTCAATAGATATGTATGCATGTATATAATCGAGAACACATTTTGAAGTATACGTTTCAAAACATTCACCAAATTTGTACATTTTCTAAATTCGTACTAACGTTTTTTGAAAGTTTGAGCTTAAATTTTGAAACATAGATAGTTTTGGTAATGGTTTTGTCCAATATTGTATTACTTATTTTTATACTCTTCACCACACAGTGGTACAGGGTATTATGTATTTGTGTATATGTTTGTAACAGGCAAAAGGAATCGAGATAGATACATGGTTCCTTTTGAGAATATGCATAGAATCACTTTCTAAGTCGATTTATGCATGTCCATCCATCGGTCTGCCTGTCCATGTTAAATTGTAAACACAGTACATGTCGCATTTATGATCCGAATTGGATGAAATTTTGCGCAGCTGTTTTATTTGGCCCAAGGACGAACCCTATTGAAATTGGGGAAAATTGTTCTAGATTTAGATAAAGCTCCCATATATATTTTTATCCGATTTAATGCAAATTGTGCACCAAAGTCCCTATATATCTATCGATTTGCCCGAAATTTTGCACAGCGTACTGAATTAATTGTAAAGAGTAACACCCATCTCTTTCGTGAAAATTGGTAAAGATTTAGATATAGCTCACATATATATTTTCGTCCGATTTAAGGTAAATAGTGCACCAAAGTCCCTATATATTTTTCGAATTACACGAAATTTGGCATATTGTTATGTTTCGTGAAAATCGGTTCAGATTTAGGTATAGCTTATATATATATATATATATATATACGTCCGATTTAATGTAAATGGTGCACCAAAGTATCTTTCGATTTGCACAATATTGGGCATGGCGTTCTGAATTAAGTCTGGAATGATGTGTGCTAAGTTTCGTGGAATTCGGTTCAGATTTAGATATAGCTCCTATATATTTTTTCTTCCGATATTATGTAAATTGTGCACTAAAGAACCAAAGTTTGCCACACAATTGTGTATAATGTGCTGATGTTACTATAAATTCATCTCTTGCAAGTGTCCTTAAAATCAGTTCAGATTTATATATAGCTCCCACATATATACTTTCATCCGATTTTAGGTAAATGATGCACCTAATTCCTACTGTTTGTCAGATGGGCACGAAATTTTCGAAGGAAAATTGACATGAAATTGTTAGGATACATATGTAAAATATACCCAAACTGGTGGAGATTATCATATAGTCGGCTCAGTCCGACTTTACCATTTTCGTTACGGTTTTTATTTAGGATTGTGAAACTAACTATACTATTTCATACATACAATTTTTATTCCACATAATTGATTGTAGCGACCCCATAAAATTTCGATACAATTTTTCCTTTGCTTCAAAAAGGCACCAGTTTTGAGGATTTTGGTTTCGTAGATTCCGTTCAGGAATTTTTGAAGTTAAAGATGCACTTCGCAAAGGTAGGCCGTCGTCGAAAATGTCGAAAAAATCGGAGAAATTATCGAAGTTGACCGGCATGTTAGCAGTCGTAACATCGCCCAGGAGCTAAATGTCTACCATAAAACTGTTTTAAACCATTTACAATTGTTGTGTTCCACCAGGACAACGCTAGGCCACACACATCTACAGTGACTCGCCCGAAATTTCGGGAGCTTGGTTGGGAAGTTTTAATGCATCCGCCATTACAGTCCGGACTTGGTACCAAACGATTGTCATATTTTTCTTGCATTGCAAAATTTTTTAATGATAAAAAATTGGTATCTATGTGGGATTGTGAAAATCGACTACTAGAATTTTTTTTCCAAATAGAGAGCAGGATGTGTATGAGAGAGGGATTATGAAATTACCTTTAAAATGGCAACAAATTATAAAACAAAACGGGTCATATTTGGCCCAAATCGGACATTTCGAAGCATGTTAAATAAAGTCCTATAGTTTATATAAAAATAAAGGATTTCTTTTTCCCCAACCTAATATAGAGAATTAGTGGATAGTGCACAAAAAGTATTATATTACATTCTACCATCTCTATTCCAAAGAAGAAACAGTTTTTATATTTATTAAATTATTCTATCCACACACCTACAACAAACAGAAGTACCTGTCAGCTGATAAACCAATAACAATATGGTGTGAATGTCTATTGCAAAAAATACTTATCATATCTTCATATATATACACACAATATATTCTAAATAATATACAAACAATAAAATATACAAGTATGTGCTAAAAATGGGTTATCGCAATTCCGAACAGAACACTGGAAAAAAAAACTTCTACGGTCCAAGTGATTTTCTCATTTTTTTTTCAATGAAATGAGAAAATTACAAAATTGTTGTGTTTGTTCAAATATTTGCAAATATATATATATATAAATGAATGGACAAAAATGAAAAAAAACTAAATATAAACAAATGCTGCTACATCATTCAGTAATTGGATGGATATTAAATTGTACTATTAAATTACTACCATGTCATTCAAATTATTTACTATTCAAAAATTGTTTGTTTTTTTACTGTCATTTGAATATTAAATTTATTAAAGTGACACGCTTTGTGGGTTTACCTGTATTTTGTGGTTATAGATAAATGTCTGGACTAAAATGAAGATTATTTTAAATATAATATATTAGATTTAGAACAAATCCTCATGTTCCGCAATAAAAATGATAATTCAAATTCATATGAAAAACGATAAAATAGCAATGCATTACGTTCATATATATCTACACCTTATAGGCCACCAACAGATCAACATATCAAATAGATTGGCAATTTGTTATATGACGTACTTGTCTTCTAAACTGTATCGATGTATTTACAACAAGTCTACTAAAATACACAGCTCATCTATCAACAATTCCGTTAATTTATAATTGCAAAAGTTTTTTTTTCGAAAATTACCTACAGTGAGTGTAATAAGTATTTTGCCTCAATACAAATTTGACAAAATTCCAATATATACGTATAAAGCCAGCATACTAAAGACGTAAAATGAATTATGTGTGATGGAATATGTTTGTGGATATATTTAGATCGTATTTCTGCAAGAATCATGGCGATAGACCTATTGGTCTCGAAGATATCGGCCGAAATCTATAACAACCCAAAAATTTTTATCACAAAAAAGTATTTTGCTTTTTATTATTATTTTAGAAAAAAATTGTTACATAAAACACGTTTGGTCTTTTTATAGTACAATTGCGGTTAATCACATACTATAAGGGATTTGTCGACGATTCCAATACATCACGGCATTTGTTCGTGGGTATTTTCTCACATTTACATTCAATACATTATCCATTAGTATTTCATTTAATATTTGGTATTTTTTCGTCTTAATCTTAAGATAAGAGTATTAAACATAGTCATTGCGGCTTCAAAACATCCCAAATATGTTTAGAATAATAAAAAAGAGGTTTTAGAAAATATAACGGGAGGATAGGACCTTAAAAACTATTAAAACCAAAATCCGACAAACAAATTATTAAAAAAAAAATCGCGAAACCCAATTTTTCTGACTTTTTGGGTTTTTTGTGATAAACATTTTTGGGTTGTTATAGATTTCGGCCGATATCTTCGAGACCAATAGGTCTATCGCCATGATTCTTGCAGAAATACGATCTAAATATATCCACAAACATATTCCATCACACATAATTCATTTTACGTCTTTAGTATGCTGGCTTTATACGTATATATTGGAATTTTTTCAAATTTTTATTGAGGCAAAATACTTATTACACTCACTGTACAAATATTTGTTCATGTGTTTTGTGATATTTCACAGAATTCGATACAACCACAAGCATATAGTTTTACAAAAAAAAATAACAATTTCACACACTGCTATTGCGATTCATGCATTTGATCTTATTTAGCAATCCATCCGCTTGATTTTCCCATTTAAGGTTGTTTGAATGTTATTTGTTTAGATAATTGCAATTGTTTTTCCCACTCCCCCATTCAAGTGCAACTACAAAATATTTGTAATCGGCAATCAATTATCATGCAGTTTACATAAAATTTATAATTGATATGTATGATTGGGGTTTGAATGCTGGCGTTGTGGGTATCTTAATTAAATATGAATTTACAATATGATAATTTGTTTTGTAATTCAATTTCATTTATAATTTTTATAACTTCAGTTTTCATAGGGGTAAACGATTTGCATTAATTCCAATTCGTTTATGATATTTATATTTAACAGGATATAATTAATTAATTTTATATTTTCTCTTTATTTATTTTCAGGGTGTGAAGAAACCTTTTGACTATGTCATCCGTGCCAATATTGGTGATTGCCATGCTATGGGCCAAAAGCCCATTACTTTCCTCAGACAGGTAAGTGTCTATTACTAAAAATTAATGTTATTTCTTGCTTTTTTATATCCTATACAACTATGTTGTCAGGGTATTATATCTTTGTAACGTCGCGAAATATTGGTCTTGGACCAATCGTCACGAAATTTTGAATGTAGGGTGGGTTCTGGGCCAAGAAGACCCCTACTGTATTGGTAATGATCAATTAATATTTAGGGAAAGAAATGGACCAAGTACTTCTTTATATCATTCACCACACTGTGGTACAGGGTATTATGTCTTTGTGTTTGTAACAGGCAAAAGGAAACGAGATAGACACATGGTTCCTTTTGAGAATATGCATAGAATCACTTTTTAAGTCGATTTATGCATGTCAGTCCATCCCTCTGTCCATGTTAAATTGTAAACAAAGGTCGCATTTATGATCCGATTTGGATGAAATTTGGCACAGCTCATTAATTTGGTCAAAAGACAAACTCTATTGAAATTGGGAAAAATCGGTTCAGATTTACATATAGCTCCTATATATATTTTCGTCCGATTTAAGGTAAATGGTTCACCAAGGTCCCTACATATCTTTCGATTTGCATGAAATTTGGCATAGCGTATTGAATCAGGCCTAGAATGACGTACGTAAAGTTTCGTTCAGATTTAGATGTAGCTCCCATATATATTTTCTGCCGATTTAATGTAAATGGTGCACCAAAGTCCATATATTTATCTTTAGATTTGGCATAGCGTACTGAATTAGGTGTAGAATGACGTGTGCCAAGTTCCGTGAAAATCGAGTCAGATTTGGATATAGCTCACATATATTTTTTCGTCCGATTTTAGGTAAATGGTGCACCAAAGGCACAAAGTTAAGCCGATTGACACAGCGTACTGAAGTTAGTATAGCCTAACGTTTGTCAACGTTTGTTGAAATCAGTTCAGTAGGCCTATTCTGTAACTTTTTAACAAATTTCGACATTGTTTATTTTACAACAATTTCATTTGTTTGTGTTGTTGTTTTTACAATAACAAAAGAAATTTAAACAATATCGAATGTTGTTAAAAGTTACAGAATAGGCCTACAGATTTGGATATAGCTCACATATATATTTTCGTCCGATTTTAAGTAAATGGTGCACCAAAGACTCAACGTAAGGCCAATTGGCACAATATTTTGCTCATTGTTCTGAAGTTAGTAGGGTCGAAAGTGTGCCAAGTTAAACATATTGAAAGATGGTCTAGCATTCATAAACTATTGCATTTCCTGTTATGTCGCTGTATCATGAAGGCCTCTCGAATGTACAGACCCATTACACTAATCACTAAAATTACTTAAAACCGAACTAATACATGAAGGGGTAGTATATACTCGTTCGCGTTCAAAGCAACCTGAGGAGTACATCTAAAACCCAACGTAAACTTGATGCGTGAGTCTTGATAATTTTCCGTACGGAAGTCTCTCCAATGCTTCCGTTGAATACACAGTTTTTCAAATTAAACTCAACCCATTCCACCAGAACATCGATTAAAGTTTGACTGCAATAAATTCTCCAAATTCTTCTCAATGAAACCGTACCTAAATCTGAATCGACTGATTGGGATGAATTTCTTTCCTCGAGGTTTCGAGAATTCGAATGAAGCATTCTCCAATATTTTCCTTTTATAGATCCTAGAAATTATAGAATTTCTTTACAGCTAACATTCTTTTGAGATCAAAATTTATTTCCACTGTTTTGGAAGTTGGACATCCTGGTTCCGATTTCAAAAACGATAATTTACCGCTAACATTCTCACAGAAAATCGAACGATGTGTGGTATTTTGTCCCTCTATTGTACTTAATTAAATTCCCTTTTAACACCATGTAAATCCTCGACACCAACAATGATATTCCGCATTTTAGCTCTATTCGTCCACACAATTTGAATAGTACTACATTTAGTACTTTTTGTACACCACAATCATATCTCAAATGTACACAATCCCAGCTATACCAATATTCGTTTATCCACAGCATTCTTCACTCATTCCAAATTTCAAAGTTTATTTGTTTTTTTGCGTGAATAACATTTCTAGTCGCAACGTTTTTACCATTTTCAAATAAAATTTTAATTTGTTGAAATTCTTCTCCTTCCTATTTATTTTATTTCCAGCTTTTGAATTTGACTTTTGATCCTGAATTGTTGAAATCTCCCAATTATCCCGAGGATGTTAAGGCTCGTGCCAAGGCTGTGCTAGAAGGCTGTCAAGGTTACTCTGTGGGATCTTATACTGATTCTGCTGGTATTGAAGTTATTCGCCGTCAGGTAGCCGACTTCATTGCTGCTCGTGATGGTGTACCCTGTGATTGGCATAACATTTTCTTGACTGCTGGTGCTTCTCCCGGTATCAAGAGTGTGTTGGCTTTGTTGAGGTAAGATGAAATAAATGTATTTCCTAAAATAGAAAAATAATGTTATTTTTCTTTTATGCAGATGCAAAGTTGATGGCAAAGCTCCCGGTATTATGGTGCCCATTCCACAATATCCATTGTATTCAGCCACCATTGCTGAATACGGTATGACCAAAGTCGATTACTATTTGGAAGAAGAGACTGGCTGGAGTTTATCCACCGCCGAATTGCAACGTTCTTATGACGAGGCCAAAAAGACCTGTAATCCACGTGCCATTGTTGTCATTAATCCTGGCAATCCTACCGGTCAAGTGCTGACCAGACAAAACATCGAAGAGATTATTAAATTCGCCCACAAGAACAAATTGGTCATTTTGGCCGATGAAGTATATCAAGATAACATTTACGATAAGGATTCGAAATTCTTCTCGTTCAAGAAAGTGATGACTGAAATGGGTTCACCTTACAGCGAAATGGAATTGGCTAGTTTTATGTCCACATCTAAGGGTTATTTGGGTGAATGTGGTATTCGTGGTGGTTATATGGAAATCATTAATATGTGCCCAAAAGTTATGGCTATGTTGACCAAATCGATTACTGCTTCGTTGTGCGGCACCACTGCTGGTCAGGTGGCTGTTAGTGCTTTGGTAAGTGGGGAATTAAGAGAATTTTAATTTCATATTTTTGAAGAACAATCGTAGACATAGTTTTCATGAATAGTCGTTAATATTTTTCAGAAACAGTTAGTCCATAGGTCTAGATTTTTAAACAGATTTTTTCGAGGATAACACTGTGCTACAAAATAACAAAAAAAATTTTTTCAGGGGTTCTAATGTACCAATTCTGTTTAGTTGGAGTCCCTGGATCACGAAAATACCTTTGGTTTTTCTGGGTCACTTCGAAAATTAATTTTATAACGGTAAATATAGAGAAAAACGTGGTTTCATGGATTTTCCATTTGAAACTTGAATAACTTATTTGCTTTATAACGGATTTATATTATTCTTTTTTTCTTTCGAAGAGTACAATTTTTCCTTTAAAACAAGATATATATTTGGTACATCGGTTGAGTATTGGCTGCGTTACAGCGGTTGAAATGTGAAAAAATACGCATAAAATGACAAAATTTATTTTTCTTCGGACTGTACGATGAAATTATGATATTAAGCCATATAAGTTTTATTATATTACGGGGAAGAAAATTAAGTTAGCTTTCGAAAATGATAAAAATCAAAAAAATCGGTTAAAAAATGGATAACTTATACACATTTTTGTATTGAATCTATGCATATTCTCTAAAGGAAATATGGGTCTGTATCGTTTCCTGTTACAAACTGTTATGTTTGCAACGGGGAAAATGAAACGAGATAGACCCATAGTTCCTTTAGAGAATATGCATAGAATCAATACAAAAATGTGTATAAGTCATACATTTTTTAACCGATTTTTTTGATTTTTATCATTTTCGAAAGCTAATTTAATTTTCTTCGCCGTAATATAATAAAACTTATATGGCTTGATATCATAATTTCATCGTACAGTCCGAAGAAAAATAAATTTTGTCATTTTATGCGTATTTTTTCACATTTCAACCGCTGTAACTCAGCCAATCCTCAACCGATGTACCAAATATATATCTTGTTTGAAAGGAAAAATTGTACTCTTCGAAATAAAAAAAGAATAATATAAATCCGTTATAAAGTAAATAAGTTATTCAAGTTTCAAATGGAAAATCCATGAAACCACGTTTTTCTCTATATTTACCGTTATAAAATTAATTTTCGAAGTGACCCAGAAAAATCAAAGGTACTGTCGTGGTCCAGGGACTCCAACTAAACAGAATTGGTACATTAGAACCCCTGAAAAATTTTCGTGTCGCACAGTGTAATTAGACCATTTAAACATATTTTTGACGGAACAATTAGTCCAATAGGCGTGGATTTTAAACCTATTTTTGGAGGCAACATTAGACCAATAGGCGTGGATTTCTTAAACATATTTTTGCCAGAACAGTTAGGCCAATAGCTGTGGATTTTTGAAACATATTTTTGAAGGCAAAATTAGGCCAAATGGCGTGGATTTTTTAAACATATTTTTTGTGGCAAAATTAGGCCAAAAGACGTGGATTTTGTTAAACATATTTTTGAAGGCCAAATGACGTGGATTTTTTTAAACATATTTTTGGAGGCAAAGTTAGGCCAATAGGCGTGTTTTTTTTTTTAAACATAGTTTTGGAAGCAAAGTTAGACCAATAGACGTGGATTTTTTAAACATAGTTTTGGAGGCAAAGTTAGGTCAATAGACGTGAATTTTTTAAACATTTTTTGCCAGGAAAACATATTTTTGGAGGCAATGTTAGGCTAATAGGCGTGGATTTTTTTAAACATAGTTTTGGAGGCAAAGTTAGACCAATAGACGTGGATTTTTTAAACATAGTTTTGGAGGCAAAGTTAGACCAATAGGCGTGGATTTTTTAAACATATTTTTGGAGGCAAAGTTAGGACAATAGACGTGAATTTTTTAAAAATTTTTTGCCAGGAAAATATATTTTTGGAGGCAAAGTTAGGCTAATAGGCGTGGATTTTTTTTAAACATAGTTTTGGAGGCAAAGTTAGACCAATAGACGTGGATTTTTGAAACATATTTTTGAAGGCAAAATTAGGCCAAATGGCGTGGATTTTTTTAAACATATTTTTGGAGGCAAAGTTAGGCCAATAGGCGTGTATTTTTTTAAACATAGTTTTGGAGGCAAATTTAGACCAATAGACGTGGATTTTTTAAACATAGTTTTGGAGGCAAAGTTAGACCAATTGGCGTGGATCTTTTAAACATATTTTTGGAGGCAAAGTTAGGCCAATAGGCGTGGATTTTTTAAACATAGTTTTGGAGGCAAAGTTAGACCAATAGGCGTGGATTTTTTAAACATAATTTTGGAGGCAATGTTAGGCCAATAGGCGTGGATTTTTAAACATAGTTTTGGAGGCAATGTTAGGCCAATAGGCGTGGATTTTTTAAACATATTTCTGGAGGCAAAGTTAGGCTAATAGGCGTGGATTTTTTTAACATATTTTTGGAGGCAAAGTTAGGCTAATAGGCGTGGATTTTTTAAATATATTTTTGGAGGCAAAGTTAGACTAATAGGCGTGGATTTTTAAACATAGTTTTTGAGGCAATGTTAGGCCAATAGGCGTGGATTTTTAAACATATTTCTGGAGGCAAAGTTAGGCTAATAGGCGTGGATTTTTTTAACATATTTTTGGAGGCAAAGTTAGGCTAATAGGCGTGGATTTTTTAAATATATTTTTGGAGGCAAAGTTAGACTAATAGGCGTGGATTTTTTAAATATATTCTTGGAGGCAAAGTAAGGACAATAGGCGGGAATTTTTAAAACATATTTTTGGAGGCAAAGTTAGGCCAATAGGCGGGAATTTTTAAAACATATTTTTGGAGGCAAAGTTAGGCCAATAGGCGGGAATTTTTAAACATATTTTTGGAGGCAAAGTTAGGCCAATAGGCGTGGATTTTTTAAACATATTTTTGGAGGCAAAGTTAGGCCAATAGGCGTGGATTTTTTAAACATAGTTTTGGAGGCAAAGTTAGACCAATAGGCGTGGATTTTTTAAACATAGTTTTGGAGGCAAAGTTAGGACAATAGGCGTGGCTTTTTTAAACATATTTTTGGAGGCAAAGTTAGGACAATAGACGTGACTTTTTTAAAAATTTTTTGCCAGGAAAGTTAGTCCAATAGGCGTGGATTTTTTAAACATTTTTTGCCAGGACAGTTTGTCGAATAGGCTTGGATTTTTTAAAAATTTTTTGCCAGGACAGTTTGTCGAATAGGCGTGGATTTTTTAAACATTTTTTGCCAGGACAGTTAGTCCAATAGGCGTGGATTTTTTAAACATTTTTTGCCAGGACAGTTAGTCCAATAGGCGTGGATTTTTTAAACATTTTTTGCCAGGACAGTTAGTCCAATAGGCGTGGATTTTTTAAACATTTTTTGCCAGGACAGTTAGTCCAATAGGCGTGGATTTTTTAAACATTTTTTGCCAGGACAGTTAGTCCAATAGGCGTGGATTTTTTAAAAATTTTTTGCCAGGACAGTTAGTCCAATAGGCGTGGATTTTTTAAACATATTTTAAGCATACATACATACATATGTTCTCAAGGAAAGTTTAACCAACATTTTTTATTGCAAATTTCAGGTAAATCCCCCCAAGCCCGGCGAGCCATCCTATGACCTATATATTAAGGAAAGAAATGGAATTTTGGGTGCTTTGAAAGAACGCGCCGAATTGGTACATAAAACTCTTAGCAGCTTTGAAGGCTACAAGGTCAACAAGGTGCAAGGCGCTATGTATGTTTTCCCTCAAGTTGTTATTCCACCCAAAGCCGTTGAAGCTGCCAAGGCTAAGGGCCTGCCCGCCGATGTTTTCTATGCATCTGAACTTTTGGAATCAACTGGTAAATATAGATAATCCTAAAAATTTTATTTATGTATATTATTATTTTTTATAATTATTTCTTTTCTAGGCATTTGCATTGTTGCCGGCAGTGGTTTCGGACAAAAACCCGGTACATATCATTTCCGCAGCACCATTTTGCCCCAGACCGATGTATTGAAGGACATGATGAACAAATTCCAAAAATTCCATGCTGAATTTATGCAAAAATACAAATAAATTACTGCACACTTCCTGCAACCTCCCTCCAACTCCTTACCGCTCCTCGACGTCCCATTTGTGTAATGTAAAAGTCCATGGTATATTCCAAAAATGTCAAATGGATTTCAACACACGGAGATCTTAAATAGTTATTGTCGTTTTAATTAATTTTCTGTTTTCCTCCTTTTTTGTTTGCCCCCCAATTTTAATGTGATCATCGTAATGCATCAAAACAAAAAAGTGTTTGTTATTTATATTTAAACAAAAAAACATATGATCTAATATATTTCATAATATATATACAATTAAATAATTAAATTCTTGTTAAGATATAAAATGCAAGACAAAGTAAAAAACAAAATCACTGAAAAATAATCAACGATATTATATAATTGTTTTATTTCTGTTCGTTCGTTCGATCATTTATTTATTTAATTTATATTTTTTGTAGCAGATTTCTTTAAGATAATGGATATATACCCAAAAGGTTTCGTAGTTGCTTTTTTTAATATTTACTCAAAATTTAAACAAAAAAAATTAGACACATACATCGTGAACATTATCTCTGTTAAAATTAATGTGGACAATAATATTGTATTGTTTTATTGACACTAAAAATAATTTATACAAAAATATAATACATATAACTTTAATTCATAATAAAAAATAATAAAGTTTTAATAACATCTAATTAAACATTTTTTAAAGAACAATTAGGCCATTAGACGTAGATTTTTAAACATATTTTTGCCAGGACAATTAGTCCAATAGGCGAGGATTTTTTAAACATATTTTCTCAATCACAATTAGGCCAATAGGCGTGGATTTTTGAAATTTATTTTCTCAACCACAATTAGGCCAATACGCATGGATTTTTTAAACATATTTTCTCATGGGCAATTAGGCCAATAGGCATGGATTTTTTAAACATATCATTTAAGGACAATTATGTCAATAGGCATGGATTTTTTAAACATATCCTTTTTAAGATATCCTGTTTTGTCTAAGGTATTCTGTCTACGGAAGAAGACAGATGCAGAATGCACAACCATTTCTGGCGAAATGACCCCATCATATATAAAAATTTGTTCAAATTGAAAAGTTGCTGCCCATTGTCTTCACATTTTGTATTCTGTCTAAATAAATCCTTTTGAAGGACTTTTGCATTCAAACCCTCGCTGAAACACTTTAATTTTTGTGTCTGTAGAATAAATTGTGGGGGTCTTCTGTCTATAAAACTTTAATCTGCTACAGATAAAATGTATTCAAAAATTCTTCTAGGGACAGAATATCCAGCAAATACCTTCCATATGTGTCTAGCCGTCAACTTTTCAAAACAATGTAGCTGTTCAAATCGACTATATTGCTTTGACCATAAAAAATTGTCGAAATGTTACATAGCTTTGAACTTTCACATAATGCTAATTTACTCTTAAATATCATTATTTTTTATATGTTTTGTCAGTATGTAATAAAACTTTAGAATTTCCTCTAACGATTTGTGTAAAAATCATGAAAATCGGTTAAGTGGTTGCTGAGTTATTTGCATTTGAAATAAACGATGTTCCGAAATATACCTACTCTGCGGTGCTGCGCACCTATTAGCTGAAAATGAAAAACCACACAAAAATCGAGTTTTTAAAAATGACAATTTTTCGTTCGTGATGGCTGCTGTTGGTTTGTAAAGAAAATCATAGCATACTTTTAGGCAGAAACAGTATCTACAAGTCGGATTACACACTTTTAAGGCCTAAAAATATGCTATAATTTTCTTTACAAACCAGAAGCAGTCATTAGGAACGAAAAATTGCAGTTTTTAAAAATTCGATTTTTGTGTGGTTTTTCTTTTTCAGGTAATAGGTGCCCAGCATCGAACAGTAAGTATATTTCGGATCATCACTGAATTCAAATGCGAATAACTCTGTGAATACGTAACCGATTTTGATAAATTTTACACAAATGAATACATGAAATTCTTAAGTTTTATTACATATTGACTATGTATTTTAAACCTACGACATGTAAGAGAAAATTAGCATTATATGAATGTTCAAAGATATGTGAAATATCGACTAATTTTTTATGAAATTTGCACAGCAGTATAGTCGATTTGGACAGCCTGTGCTATATCCATGGCAATTCAGATATGCACAAATTTTATGAAAAGAATAACATAGTACTATCATGAAAAATCGTCCATAGACAGAATATCTTGAAAATGTTGTTTACTAACAAAAGGCTGAAGACTTCTAAAGTCCGACGACCTTCAAAAGGTCCTCTCTCCAAATACAAACCTTATAAAGGGTCTCCTGTTGATAGAAGATCTTCAAATGGATATCTAAGGAAATAAAAGGGCTTCCAAAGAACTTCTATTAAAAGATCTTCAAAATATTTTTAGGACCTTTATAAAATGGATGTAAAAAACACACCTTGGTTGTAATTTGGCATTTTAGTAGGTCTTTTAAATCCCAAAAAAATGGGAGGCTTTTATCCGCTGGGTCAAGGCTTTCACAAAAACTCACTCATCCTTCAACCTAACATGCCTTGCCTAACATGTTAGAACTTCCTCTGTAAATTTGTATTTTCTCAGCCATGATTAGGCGTAAGCGTGTATTTTTTAAACATATTTTCACAAGGACAATTAGGCGAATAGGCGTGGATTTTTTTAACATATTTTCTCAAGGTCAATTAGGCCAATAGGCATGTCAAAAACACACATCTACTGATGTTTCAAAAAAAATGTATAATTTTTTTTTATGAGAAATGCAAGTCTTATTAATTGTATGTATTCTATTAAATTCAATACAAATTGCAATATAGATCGATCGTTCATCATATTCATACACATATTATTACACTATACAAATTTACATCTAAACATTGACTTAAAAATACAAAAAAAAAAAAAAAATGAATTACATATATGTATATTACGAGTAAATTAAGAATGTACTACTAAAAATTAATCGGATGTTTTAAGTCGCTTAACTGGTCCCTCACTGCCCTGGGAGTTGGAGTCTTCCGAAAATGGCATACTGCTAACAAAATCAGCACCCTGCGAATCACTGACAACGGAGAAGCCTGCAAAAAAAACAATACATTAATTTCAATCTTTACAGAAATAACAACAAAAATATATAAAAAGAATTTATGGACTCTTAATCTCTTAAAATAATTATAAAAACATCAAACATTTTGTTTCGTTGTAATGATTGCTTGCTGTTTCTTTGGGAACTCATATTCGTAGTATTCACTCACAGGTATTGGAATCCTCAGCAGTCAGACCACCTCCATAACTGGAGGTTATTTGCGGTGGCGTCGGTGTACTCTTTTGCGAATTCTCCTTGTCACTTTTGCTACCCAGGCCACCACCAACGGCGCCGTTAACACCAAGTTTCTTTTTATCGTTATTCGATATGGGAACCCATTTGAAGATTTTCATGGTCGTATCATTGATTGTAACCCATTTCTTTTCCCAATGCCTGGGCTTGTCCACTGCGGCCATTACCCGTTTAATATCATCTTTGGCACGGCTACGAGTTTCGGCTCTTACACTTCGCGACATTGTGGGGAATTTATTTGATGTATTTTCTTAATTTATTTAATTTCTTTTATTTTATTTAATAATGAAGTGCTACGTTTTCTCCGGTTGTTGGTGGTTGTTTTCTTTTTTTCGGTCTGTCACTTTCAAGGAACGCTTTGCACCGGCAATGTTTACATCAGGGTTGGAAGTGCGCAATTGCAGAGAAACATTAGTATTCATATGTTGGAACGTTAACAATTTATTAAAATAATTAGAAATATGAAACACTTTTACTTAAATATACCATTTAGCTTTCTAGTTTCTAAAAGTTAAAGAAAATGTGTATTTCTATTCATTTTTTTCAGAGAATTGAGAAACATGCATTAATCCGTCTCTGTCGTAATTACTTTGTGTATGTACCGATTACCGTAACCTTAGTAGTTAGTGAAACACGTAACGTGACGTGGCACATAAACACACATTTACACAACTTTCACATCTCACAAACCTAAAGTTTGGGGAATAAATTTTGAGTAGACAATCAAAAAAATACAAATTTCCAGTAAAGATTGATACAATTAACAATTATGATATTTATAAAAAAAGAATAAAAAATATTTAATATATAAATCCCGAGAAATAATAAAAACAATTCAGTTTATCATTTTTTTTAAATTATTTGCAAAAGCATTAGGTCCAAAAAACAATCATCTCCTCCAACAGGTTACATACCTCAGGTTCGGGTGGATCAGGCTCCAGTGGAAGCCTTCAATGCTGCAGATTATTCCTCCATTTTCTAGTTCTATAAGTTCTATAAGTCAACTTCGTCGTTCAAGAAGAGGTCTGTCATATATCGGTGATAAGCTCCGTCAGGGTCGGCTCGATCAATGATCACAACTCGCAGATCACTAGGCGCCGGGATCGGTCTCTTCGTGACGGCGATTTTGGGTTTCTCCTCCCCCTAACCACTCTTGGTAGAATTATTCTTTGTTGCTCTTCCCAGAACATAATTCTCTCATAACTCCTTCATTAGGTCCCCAGAGTAATATCCAGTACATCCACTTCGTGTTCGCCTGCTTTTGATTTCCAGCTTCAAAAGCTCAATTGTCGTAACGTTGGATTTGTGTTTTGACAATTCAATAGCAGGCGAATTGCTAGGCTTCCAGTTGTGTTTTAGCAGCCTTTTTACGTGCTTTCCTTCGAGCCGGATCCGACATTACCCTGTCCTCTTTCGCAGTGGAGGATGGTGTCAGGGACTTCCCAACATTTAGAGAGCCATTTGATGGTGCTGAGTGACCAGAAGTCCCCGACATAATCTTCCCGTTGTTCAGAAAACGAGCAGACTTCTCTTTCACTGTTCTGAGAGAACTATGTTCTGCATCAACGGTCAGTTGCCTCAAAAGTCTCGCCAGGGATTGCGTCCTTTCTCATCATCTTCGAAAAGTCACTTTATTTTGAAGGAGTCACTAGGATAGTCTTTGTGTTAATATTTTGAAGACTAAGACGAGTCCTTAACATGGTACGGATCCCAACAAAGTCAAGATCCTGACCGCAAATCTTTAACACTGATGCGTACGAAGTCGTCTAACACACCACCATTAGGAAAGCCACTTAGAAAGGAAGTGACCTAAGAAGTGAATATTTTGGAGCTGCCTTCACGACTCGTCGATCCTGGAATCATAGGCACTCGGTCATTTCCTTCGATACGTTGCCCCAGTTCACAACTTTTTATTTAAATTTACCCAATAAAAAAACGATGATGGAACGACTGTTACCAGTTAACCCCGCTCGAACGCAGAATTATCAATTCATCCTTGGAATAGAGATTCATGAGAAAATCTGTTTCCACTTCTATGGCTTCTGTTAATAAATGAGATACTGCTGAAATTCGACAACCTTAAAATAAAGGTTGTGGCGTATTCTGATGATTTCCAATATCATGGAGGGTGCCCTTTTAACCCAGTCCAACTGGGCTCATGCCAATGGTCTTGTCGTAAACCCCACTAAGACAGAAATGGTACTCTTCACTAGGAAACGTAAGATTCCAAATTTCCGCTTGCCATATTTTGGTGGAGTTACCTTAGCCTTTCCTTAGAAACAAAGTGCTTGGTACAATCCTTGACCACAAATTAACATGGAAAAGGAATTTTGATGAACGCACTAAGAAAGGAGTAATAGCACTCCATTCTGGCAAGAACTCTATAGGTAAGAGTTGGGGACCACAACCAGAAATCATACACTGGCTGTATGGATGCCTTGTGTGGTGACAAGGGGACAACAATAATGAATACAGTACAGCGCTCGGTTTCGACCCTGGTAACTGGGCGCTAAGAAGCACACCACAAGCAGTCCTGAATGCATTCGTGAACTTCCAACCACTGGACTCTTTGGTTAAATTCCTGGCTGCTAGATGTGCCCTGAGGCTCCGGGAAACGAATGTCTGGAAGTCGCTGAATTTTGACGAAAGCATCATTCACACGAAGCCATGTTGTGACTGCTCGGAGAGGTGTAAACACATCAGTGACTATATTCCCTCTCATAGAGTGATTTCTTACCTCTAACCGGTTTGTCGATTTTTGCAGACGGGTCGAAGATGAAGGAAGGTACTGGTGCAGGGAACTAGCAATCTAGAACTCATATAAACTTAACGATCTTTGCAGCGTAATTCAAGCAGAAATCCTGGCCATCACAAAATTGGCTGAGGTAGTCAAAACACTTACTATCGGTAACATAGGCCCGGTCACTATATATGACTATTAAAAATATGTTAGAATTCCAGTATCGCTTATTCTATATCAGATTCGATTAATAATAAATCGATCCGTATACCCCTACATGCAGATGATAATAGGATGGATGAGAATTTCCGTAAAGTTGTACTCTTTTAAGTACTATTTTACTTTCAAAAGTACAAAAATAACCCACGTCTTATATCAAACCACTTGCGGATATTTCTAGGCTTTGAGATAAACCAAAAATCAAAGCGATATCAGCAAAAGTTTGGCCATCTTCATTAGATGCTGTAAATTATTTTCTTCAAAAATTCAAATTTTCCCTTTAAAAAAGTACCATTTTGGTACATTCTAATATTATTGATTTTCCATCTCTGACTACAAGTGTTTTGCTTATCATTTCAATATCAGTTTATTTTCACTGGTCACCACTTAAATACTTCGAGGCAATTACAATAACATGTTAAGCTAAATAAAAAATAGAACTAATAACAATGAGTTGTGCGGATTCCGTAACGAAGCAAATCAATATTCGAATATTATTTTTTGCAAAAGCACGTGAATTGGCAGGATTGGATGAAGTGACATATAGCATCGAAACAAATACGATAACATCCCTCAAACTACTGGCAGAATTAAGTGCTGCGTATAATTTGGAATCCATTAAATCTACAATTATATTGGCCGTCAATCAAAACTATTGTAACGTCAGTGAAGAAGAACAACTCTCCTTGAAGGAAGGTGATGAAGTGGCAATTATTCCTCCCTTAAGTGGTGGATAGGCAGATAGACGAACGTAATTTTCCTGCCGCTCTCATATATTTTGTTCAAATAGTGCCTAAGTAGTTAATAAGATAAGCGAAATGAAAAACCACCTGTTGCTCACCCATGATAAACTTGATGTTGGTGCTATCAATGATTTGGTAACTGCCGGCAGCTGTGGAGCCATATCCCTATTTGTTGGTACAACTCGTGATAATTTTGAAGATAAAACTGTGGTATCCTTAGAATATGAAGCCTACGAACCAATGGCCATTAAAGAAATGGAAAGTATATGTCAACAACTTCGCCAAAATTGGCCAGATATTGTCAATATTGCCATATATCATCGTTTGGGTCTGGTTCCGGTGTGTGAAGCAAGTGTTGTTATTGCCGTTTCCTCACCACATCGTAAAACTGCCCTGGATGCTGTGGCCTTAGCCATTGAGGAGCTTAAGAAACGTGTACCAATTTGGAAGAAGGAAAAATACGAAGGCGATGAAGGTGCATGGAAGGAGAACAAAGAATGTCAGTGGTTGAGCAAGGAAAAAATGTAATATTTTAAATATGTTGTATATATTGCCACCTCTTGGATTTTTTATTGCTTCGTTGGAGGAATTGTTAAAAATTTATACATACGTATTTTTTTATAATTGTAGTGCAATAAAACAGAAATTTGTTATTGAATTTGAATACAGATTTGCGATAATTTGCTGTTGCTAACTTTTTGAAACAGCATTCAATACAAAACAAGATAAACAATAGAAGAACCCAAAAATATGTTGCATCAACCAAAACAAAATAATTATAGATATCGTTTTGCTTTAAATCGGGTTTGTCAAGCTAATAGATGACCTTGTATTAAAGTAAAATAAATTATTTTTTATATTAAGCTATGAGGTATCAATGTAGGAAGATGTTTCGATTCAAACATTTTTGGCAGACACATGTCAAACTGAAGCTAATAGCAGACGAAGGCAGGGTTATGGTCATTGCTATTACAACAATACCAACAAGAACATTTTGTTATTTATCCTCATAGTGGAGAAAGAGTGTAGTTATGATAAGTATATGATGACATGCTCGTCCACAAGATTTTCTGGGTTCTATAGAGTATTCTCTTTAAGATAAATATAGTATTACATGTTGTTGTGGAATTATAAATTACTCCCTGGAAGAATATGCCAAGAAAAAAACTGAGACAACTAATGAGGCTTTGTGGCGAAATCCAGAACTGTACCTTTACTTATACCCATCATGGAGGGTTTAAATATTTGGCTTTTCCATTTGCAATTCATCGAAATAAACATTTCCGACCCCATAAAGAATATACATATATTCCTGATTAGCGTAAAATTCTATAACGATCTAACCATGTCCGGCTGTCTGTTATAACCATATATGTTAACAAATCTCCCTACCAAATATTATTAACATTTGTCACTTTTTGGGGTAGTACCCATATGTCCGTTTTTAACCCTCATATAATACCTACGGTATTTCGATATTTTTAACATTTAGCATGAAGTTATCTTTTAGGGTAAAGTTAGTTATATGCGATGCATATTCTAATTCTGCTCATTAATGGGCTCGATGGCGTCGAATTACATGTGAAATACACGATATAAAATGAAAGTTCGGCCCGACCGAGCGTAACGCCTTTTTTACTTGTTAAATTTTAAAACAACCAAACTAGTATGGAAATTTCAAAAGACCATTGACATAGAATCGGATAAATTTAAATATGAGATCTACATAGGCATATGTAACAATTTTAATCAACCCAGCCCAATGTTTCATCTGAATCGAACAAACTTTGAGTATATATAGAAAACAATTTAATGAAATTGAAGATACATCCAAATCTGTATCCAATTAAATGATATTTAATACACTTAATTCTAGACCCATCGGCATTTAAAAATAAATAAGGGGACTTTTTTGCGCCATATATATATATATATATATATATAATTTCTAAATCTAAAACGATTTCTTCAAAATTTAACACACGTTTTTGTAGGCTCAATCAATACGATATGAAAAATTTCTTAATCGGACAAACCTTAAGATGTTGGTGCACAATTTACATGAAATTGGACGAAAATATTTGTGGGAGCTATATCTAAATCTGAACCGATTGCAATGAAACACACACTCTATCCTATACTCAATTCCATACGTTATATCAAAGTGTGTCTCAATAGAACAAAGTATATATTAGGTTGGGGGGAAAATCCATTATTTTTTCGTTATATCAAAGTGTGTTTATGCTCATGCAGTTGTGAGTTACAGGGTGTTAAAAATGGAAGTGAACAAAAAATTCGTATATATCCAGCCAAGCGGCTAAAATTGTGAATGGTGTTTATAGTTGCGATACTGTAACAGCCAATTAAATTTTGGTTTCGTAGATTCCGTTCAGGAATTTTTGATGTTAAAGAAGCACTCGCACTGGTAGGCTGATCGTCGAAAATGTCAATCATATCGGAGAAATGATCGAAGTTGTAACATCTCCCAAGAGTTAAATATCGACCATAAAACAGTTTTAAACCATTTACAATTGACCAGAAACGGCCAGAATTGGAGAACAAGAGAGGTGTCGTGTTCCACCGGGACAACGCTCGCCAGAAACTTCGGGAGCTTGCTTGGGAAGTTTTAATGCATCCGCCATACAGTCCGGACTTGGCACCAAGCGATTATCATATTTTTCTTGTCTTGCAAAATTTCTTTAATGATAAAAAATTGGTATCTAAGGAGGATTGTGAAAATCGACTACTAAAGTTTTTTTTTTCAAATAGAGAGTAGGACTTCTATGAGAGATTCATTATGAAGTTACCTTTCAAATGGCAACAAATCATACATCAAAACGGTGCATATTAGGCCCAAATCGGACATTCCGAAGCATGCATGAATTTCTTTTTCCCCAACCTAATATATGGGAGCAAAATCTAAATTGAAACCGATTTTCATATTAATTTCAATAAGGTATGTCCTTGAACCTAATAAATGAGCTGTGTTAAAATTCATTTCATTCGGATAATAAATGTGACTTGCACTTTGTTTACAATTTAACATCGACAGACATACGGACGAGCAGAAGGACGTTCATAAATATACTCAGAAAGGGATTATATATATATTCTCAAATGGACCCATGTCTATCATGTTTCCTTTTGATGTTACAAACATATGCGCGAAGATATAATGCCCTATACAACAGTGTGGAGAATGAAGGCTACTTTAGGTGCCAAGTGACAAAATATTTTTGGATTCGGTATAGATCCATTTTTAGTTTTTTTCCTTTATATCGAACCCGCACACTCCGTAAAAGTACAAATTCAATGAAGTTTTAATAAATGTTAAAATACGGACTTAGGAGAACTTACCCTATTTGTTTGGTCTCAAATCAACTACTGGATATGTACTTGTTTGGGCGTTTTTTTTTTTTTCTTCTTTCTTGATTTTGTAATGATAGTTCGAATGGACGCTGTACATGATGCGTCGAGTGCTTGTTCATTGTATTCACAATCTGATGAAATTTATCCATTTAGGTAGAATAAGGCTCTTGATACTGCACCCCCACATCGATAGTTTTAAACTAGCAGTTTAATATCTTGCCTCCACTGTCAGTCACTAAAAATTGTATTCGCCTTCTGGATGTCCTGATATTTGGGCCATGGGCCTTTCTGAATTTTGATTTTGAAGAAAGGTTGAAAATTTGTCGTTGAACGATTTCTTTAATAATATGAATCACCCTGTTAAAACACACTGCTTTATAATTTGTTCACTTACCAACACTGTTTTCAACAAAAGGTATGTTTACAGAGCATCATATTTATACTCGTTGTTTGGGTTGTTATTTTGTTTGTATATACGTCAAACAAAGTAAAACATGTTATGGTGTTTTTACACGATTTGTATTTTACATATGTGCTGTCACTTTTTTACATATGGAAATCGAACTCGTCATGTGGAACATACGGAAATTTCAATGTGTCAAAACGATATGCAATTACATATGTATTTTTTTTCCGAATAGGGCGCGCTCTATTTTCGTATGTGAAACATAAGGAAATCAGCTGTTTGAATGAAACACATTGTTGGAAGAAAATATTTCAATTGCAAGTCAAAGAAAAGGATGAATAGGCAACAATTACAAATTTTTATTTCGTTTGTAGGTGCTTAATAAAAAAATGATGTTGATTTAATATATAGGTTATGTCATATGTAAAATACATATGTTTGAACACAAAAATAAATGTTTTGTGTACGCTGCTAATTTTGACACACATAAGGAATTACATATGGATGAAATAAGTGACAGCACATATGTAAAATACATATCGTGTAAAAACGCCATTAGTTGTACATTGGACTATATAGTAAATGAAAATATCGTAAAATATATTTCATGTTAAATAAGGCGACCAGATTTTCAAAATTAAAATAGATGGACAAAAAGGAATAATAAATTTTTAATACAAATAACAGTATGTATATAAAACATACAATTAGATTTACTTATAATTATATACAAAATGAGTTACAAAGTCAATAAGTACGACCGGGCCAAATTTTCCGAAGCGAATAATCTTGGGATCTTCATATAAGGAACATAACAAAGAAGTAGACCTATGTCGACTATGTTTTGCAACACATAGGCCACAAGAAATAGTAAATTGCGGCAAAATTTAAAAAGAAATTAAAAGTTGGGTTTCTTTATATTGGGAAAGAACAAAAATTTATCGAATTAAGCGGTGTACACACTATCATTTTTGACTGTCAGCTTTTTTATCGATTACTGTCCACAAACCAAAAACCAAAATTTAAATATTTTTGTGGTTGCCTGATGAATGACAAACATGTGAGGCCACACTATCAAACAAGCAAAATTTGAGCAAGAGTACCATTCAAAAATGCTAGTATGTACACCGCATTACAGCCAACTCGGTTTTAAAACGTCTGCACAAACCCTAAAAATACCAAAATTTAATCATTAATAATTTTTTTAGCGAAATTTGTTTCCCAATTAGAATTCAAAAAATTAATGTCAATGCCTCTCGAAAAGTCGAATCAAAACTTGCCTTCAACCATTTTATTGATACATACGTCGTATTATAAATAATCTAACCTATGTTTACAGATAGTTGATAGCCATGGTATAATAATAGAAGGTAACAGCAAGTGTTGTTGTACAACAAACGATACAACAACCACATGGAAATTTGTTGTTGTAAGTTATACTAGTGTCAACGTCATTTGACAGAAAAATGTAAACAAACAAATTATATTTATTTTGAAAATGTAATATTTTCGAATCCTCAAAATAAAATTGAAAAACATGAATGAAAATCTATTAAATTTATATTTCTATCGCTTCCACATCATAATTGAGCCATTGCCACTTATATGTGTAACACATTTTTTGACATGCTTTTTGCCAGATCTCTTCAAATTATTAAAATTTGTTGTTATATAGCTCATTTATGAAAAATAATTTACAGCAATCGTAATTTATGGTATTTGTAAATTTATCGGTAGCTTAAACGACGGCTAAATTATGATTTATTATAAAACACGTATAAATATACCCAAACGTCACATACCTGACATTCTATACATCAGATACAGATACAAAATGTACCACCGATATTTAGTTCAATTGAACGATTCACTGCAAAGAGCGATAAACTAAATTTGAGGCTACTCACTGCCAACTGATTACTTATGCGCTATTCATTGCAAAATGACTATGTATTCACTGTAATATGATAACAGACTGTTCATTTTGGAACTACGTACCCCTAACAACTAACTCCAGAATTCAGTGGACGAGCAAACGAACGAAATGGATCGGAGTGTAGCGGATAAAATGAAAATTATTAAGAAATTAAGAAAAATCTATTTGTGAAATTTTTTAGTGGAAATAGTGAAAAAATTAACAAAAATCTAATCAATAGAAGTAACGTGAAATATCGTGAAACCCACAACGGCATAGAGAAAAACGTAGAAAATTATGTTTTTTCTAAGGGCCAAAAGAAAATGAGAAGAAAAAATTGGTGTGTATGAAAAAAGAAGAAAAGAAAAAAAATAAAGTGAAGCCTCTATTTGTGTACGTACGTGTGTTGCAAATGAGTTGATTGCTGCGTGTATGTGTGCAAAAAAAGCAGCAAATAAAAAGTAGAATAAAAGTTAATGAAATTCATTTTGTTGTTGTTGCTGCCTGCGATAAATAAAAGTGAAAATTTGCATGGAATTAAAAAAGGTGGCCTTTGCATCAAAATAGATTTAATTAAACAACAAAACACACATACGTGCGCACAACATCACGTCAAAACAGCAGTGGAAAAGCAGAGAAAATCTAATTGTCAATTGTTTGTTCGATTTTGTTTGTTTTGTGTGCCAGTGTGGTAACACTGAAACCGGTTACCTGAGACATAACAGTGTGTAACGCGAACATGGCAACACTGTTTACATTTTAGTTATTCCCTCATTATCATTTGTTCGTAACAAAAAAATTATAAAATCTGCTTCTAATCTTATTGTACATAAGGAGAGTGTTGTTTTTTGAATAAATAATGAAAAAATGATAAAAGAAAGTGACGTGAAATTAAAAAGTCGCTAACACGCGCCTGGTTTGCTCGGTTGTGCCGAATAACGAAAAAAGCTTGACACTTGTGAAGTTTTCCGTGTGTATCTCTCACTACGCCACCACCTAACGCCACCTAGGGCACCTCGAATGCCTCTCGGCACTTTTTACGGTTTACTATGTGTGTGTTTTGTTGTTTAATTTCATTTTTTTTTGGTATAGTTAATATAGGTAAAATTGTAGATTTTCCTACGAGTTGTCTGGAAAAGAGAGTGAATATTTTCTTTCTCATTTGAAACGGGAGAACAACAACAGTGCAAAATATATGTGTTTTTACAACAAGACAACAACAACAGCAATAGCAAACATAAATAATAACAACAACGATAACATCGTATTTTAATTGGCAACTGGGAGAGTGATAGGCAAATTGTGCAAAGAATGAATGAAAAGCGAGAGTAACAAAAAGAAGAAGCAGTACAGAGTAACAAAAGAAGACGAAACGTCAACGTGAATAAAATGTGGACTTTTTAAGAGTGCATGTGCAAATTCAAACAAGAAAAAAATAGTAGATATCTGTTTTCAAAATTTGGTTTATGTGACAAAAAAAAAAAAAATATATCCCTTGTCCTGGACACTGAATGTGCAACAAAAGTTTTTTTTTTACAAAAATAATAAACAAAACATTTTTTAAAAAAGTTTTAAGTTTTTACTAAAGTGAAACAAAAAAGAAATTGTCGTTCTCTAGTCAGTTTTGTCTGTCTGCTAGCAGACGGCGGAACACATTGCTGGAACATAAAAAAGCTAACGTATTTTTTTGGATACTTTGTTCGCCTACCACCATATTTCCTGCTCTACTAAAATAAAACAAAAACTCATCATCATCCTGTCTGGAGAATAAGACAACATTGTCTCGTCTGGTAGTTGCCTTTGTGCTCCGTCATTGTGTCTGCCAAGAAAGTGAAAAAAGCAAGCAAGGGAAGGAAATAAAAAATTGCAAGCCATCGCCCTCTTAGCACAGAACAATTTACATTAACAACCAAAGCAGACAAAGCTACTGGCAAACAAGAAACGAGGACTCATAACATATGTGTGTGTGTGTGTGAACTCTTTCTTTCGTCGGTTTTTTTAAGAGCTAAACACTTTTACACCTGTGCCCCAGTAGAACAATAAATACCGGCAATATTATTAACATCGGTAGAAAAAATAATTTGCAATCGCCATTTCATTCACATTTACATTCTTCACATCGATTGCCAAAGACGTCGACAAGAGCACAGCCTTGGTGGTCGCCATCATCGTCGTTGTCCTCCACATCACAATCATCGTCAGCATTAACCCCATCGCGGTCGTCGTCATCGTCACCAACAGTTGTATCTTCAGTGACCAAGCAGCACATTAATTCAGCCAGCATTAGCAGCATCAACGATAGCGGCAGCAGCAGCAGTGGCATTGGCGGTAGCAGTCGAGCTAGCAGCAGTACCGACAACAACAAAATGCCCAAATGCGATGTTAAAACACGTTACATTCCTGCGACTTTCGCCTGGATTTTATTATTGACCACAACATTTCTCTTCTTCTTTTATCCGTAAGTATTGCAAAAAACTGTTCTTTTTTGTTTCTTTATAATGTGGAGGATGGACATGCATTTGTTTGCAACAAACTGTTCTTTTTTGTTTCTTTATAATGTGGAGGATGGACATGCAGTTGTTTGCAACAAACTGTTCATTTTTGTTTCTTTATAATGTGGATGGACATGCATTTGTTTGCTTTTTTCATTTATTGTGGGTGATAAATATCAATAAATTTTCTATACTCGTACTCTCTTTCTCTGACTCTCACAAGAGAAGAGATGATAAATTATTACTGGCCTTAATAACTGTTGTAGTAAAGTGTTATTGTTTGTATTGTTGCTGTTTTATTATTAACTGAGGACAGTGTTTGTTTTAAACTTGTTACAAAAAATAAAAACAACAACTAATATAACAACATAAACAGTAACATAGACCAACCAATGAACAACCCATTCTATCGTGCATAACAACGTATGACTGAGTGAAGTGCTATCAAAACAAAACTTGTTTTCAAGTTCACACAATCATTAGTTTGTTTGTTGTTGCAGTAACTGCAGCAGCAGCATGCACAAACACATCACACACATCGTTTAGTGAGAGTAGTGGGTGGGAGTGATACAGGAAATAATATATGTGGGGAGAAGAAGAATAGTATTACTCTTAATGAACATGATTTTTTTGATGATTTAGTGACAATTGTGTTTTCCTGTGTGTGTGTGTCCTTGGTTGTGAATATAATTATGCAGTTATTTCATGCAGAAAGTGAACTCCTCTGTGTAATTTGACATTAAAGAGGGAAAATTAATGATTAAAAGGAAAAAAAATAATGAAATATTGCGTCTATAAGAGGAAATTGCAAAAATTATAGAAATAATCAAAGAAAATAAGGAGATAAAAAACCTTATTGGAGACCCCAAAAGCTTTTGAGACACATTTTTGTTGTGTCGTTCATATAAAGACCTTATCTGCCAAGGTGAAAGTCTTCCCCGCCCCTAAAGTCGTTGGGACATAATTTGGGGTTAGAGGGACTACATAATATATTTATTACATATCTGTGTATATGTATGTATGATATATAATGTAATTTCTATATAAGAACAATGCAACCACAAAAAATGCCATAAAAAGGGCGACGAAATGTTGTTATGACAATGGACGACGAAAATAATAACCACAATAATAATTAATATCTAATATGGCGCGGTGTGGTTGTTTTAATTACTCATCCTAATTTTTTGTTGTTGTTAATAATGACATAATATAAAAACAGAACGTAAAGGTTTTTGTAGTTGGTTTTGATGTTAATGTCATTGACATTGTATGTACCTCAGAAGAATCGGACTATTAATTTTCTTTATGGTCAATGTTTATAATGTTTATGACATCTTTCCGTTGTGCCATTTTATAACTGCAATGAAGTCATCGTCGTCATATGTCAAAATGTCTTAATAGACAAGGGAAATAACAGCAGTCATATAAAATATCTTAATAAACTTTGTGATGATCATGATGATTTCTGGTCATTTTTTTTTGATATCTTTCTCTATCAATATTGGAAGATATGAAGAAGGACTAAAAGTTAGGTATTTTAAGTAAATATTAGAAATGAAATATTCATTTAAAACACATTTTTAATTTTATTTATTCTTTCTAGATTCGTTTCTTTATAAAATTAATATTCCAGATCTGAACTCAATATTGCATTCTGCATCAAAATCAGAGAGAATAGAACAGGACATTTCAAAACAGTTTTCTGAGCCATTTGTGTCACAAAACTAATGTGGATTTCAAAATCCACATTACTTCGATAGACCCATAGGATTGATATTTTTCTACAGATTTGATTTTCATCAAAGGCGATGTGAAGACTGAATTTATTAGATCAGTATTTTAAATAAAACTCTGTTCTGGTGTCAGAATAACATCATTTGATCCTCCTACCCACTGAAATTCGTTTATTTTTCTTATATGCACCCGTAGAAGTTGGTCAGACTTCAATCATATACATAATTTCATTTGCTCCCCTTGGAATATATCCATTGTTGTTGTAACAGCCCTACTGCTGAATACAATTTTGTCAATTGGGTAGGTCACAAAATATCGTTTGGAAAACATTATCGATATAAATCCTACAATCTGGCCCGTTTGTCACTGCACCGTGGATTCAGGTCGATTTTTTTATAGAAAAAAAAATCGAAAGAATCTCAGGTCGATTTTTTTTCAATAGAAAAAAATTCAAAAGAATCTCTGGTCGTTTTTTTTCTATAGAAAAAAATTTGAAAGAGCTTCAGGTCGATTCGAAAGTCCCTCAGGTCGATTCGAAAGTCCCTCAAGTCAATTTTTTTCTATAGAGAAAAATTCGAAAGAATTCAAGTAGATTTTTTTCTATAAAAAAAAATTCAAAAGTAGATTTTTTGTGTATTCAAATCAATATCCAACATCAATACAAATCGCATTTGATAATTAGTTGAAAATCTCTATGGTGGAGGCCTCAGGTCGATTTTTTTATACAGAAAAAAAAAATCACGAGACCCTCAGGTCGTTTTTTTCTATTAAAAAAGTCGAGAAAACCTCAGAGTCGTTTTTTCTATAAAAAAAAATCGAAGGACCCTCAGGTCAATTTTTTTCAATAAAAAAAATCGAAAGGCCCTCAGGTCAATATCTAACATCTTTAGAAATCGCATTTGATAATTAGTTGCAAATCTCTCTGGTGGAGGCTATATTTGATTTGACAATTAATAGTTTTTTTTTGTATTTATTTTTTAATTTGGTGGAAAGGCGTAATGTAAATAACGCCTTTCCACCAAATTCCACATACTAATTTAAAAGTGCCACAAAGTTTTTTTTTTATTATCGTTATGAAAAATCGAAAAGTTTACATACAACAATTTTCTATAAATTTCCATTATTTTTTTCATATCGCTACTTGCGAGTTTTTTGAACCTGTGTAGGAGCAGCAACTCCACTATCATTACTATCAGCTTCATTGCAAAAAAATATCTTCATTTTTTTGTGTTACTTCGTTCCCTTGCATGCCAACAACATTCCATTCATTGTTTGTCTGTTTGTATATTTTTTTCATTTCAATTTATTTGTTTTTTTTTTTGTATGGAAAAAAGATAAAAAAATATTTTTTTTTGGATTTTCTTATTTGTACAAACGAATGATATTTATGTATGAATGAATGAATTTATGTACATAAATATAAGTAATCACAAGCACTACTGTTATTTGTTGTGGGAAGGCAGGCATTCAGTTGGAACCTACAGAAAATTCGCGAAAATAGAAAAAATACCATATAAATAAATAATAAAAAAAATCTTGAAAGACCCTCAGGGTCGATTTTTTTCTATAGAAAAAAATTTGAAAGACCCTCAGGGTCGATTTTTTTCTATAGAAAAAAATTTGAAAGACCATCAGGGTCGATTTTTTTCTATTGAAAAAAATTTGAAAGACCCTCAGGGTCGATTTTTTCTATTGAAAAAAATTTGAAAGACCCTCAGGTCGGTTTTTTTCTATTGAAAAATATTCGAAAGACCCTCAGGGTCGATTTTTTTCTATTGAAAAAAATTCGTGGTGAGACCCTCAGGGTCGATTTTTTTCTATAGAAAAAAATTCGTGGCGAGACCCTCAGGGTCGATTTTTTTCTATAGAAAAAAATTTGAAAGACCCTCAGGGTCGATTTTTTTCTATAGAAAAAAATTTGAAAGACCCTCAGGGTCGATTTTTTTCTATAGAAAAAAATTTGAAAGACCCTCAGGGTCGATTTTTTTCTATAGAAAAAAATTTGAAAGACCCTCAGGGTCGATTTTTTTCTATAGAAAAAAATTTGAAAGACCCTCAGGGTCGATTTTTTTCTATAGAAAAAAATTTGAAAGACCCTCAGGGTCGATTTTTTTCTATAGAAAAAAATTTGAAAGACCCTCAGGGTCGATTTTTTTCTATAGAAAAAAATTCGTGGGACCCTCAGGTCGATTTTTTTCTATAGAAACAATTTTGAAAGACCCTCAGGGTCGATTTTTTTCTACAGAAAAAATTTGAAAGACCCTCAGGGTCGATTTTTTTCTATAGAAAAAAATTAGAAGGACCCTCAGGGTCGATTTTTTCTATGGAAAAAAAATTGAAAGACCCTCAGGTTTTCCAATCCACCCTAACATCCCAAGCATTGAATGTTGGGTTGTGTATACCCCTGTGTGAATAATTCCACCATGCGTTGGTGTTTTCTTTTTTCTTCGTATGTGATGATGATGATTACGATGAGATTCATGCAATTTCTTCGTCAATAACACTTTTGTTGGGTGTTTTCGTTTTCATTTTCTTTTTGTTGTCATTGCTGTTGTTGTTGCTATTTTTTGTTCCACCCGTTGCGTTTTTACGACCAAAAACGCTGAGTGATTGTTTACATAAAATGTTCATTGCAAAATACTCGAACTCTATAGCAGCACTACTCCCTCCATCCCACCTCAACTGCACCTCCCTCCACCCCATTCACTCCCTATTTACCAATCGAAGTCTTCGCCTACATTTCCCTCCCATCCTCCATAGTTTTATGTTGTTACTTTATTGTTGTTGTAATTTTCACACAAATCCCATAAACATATAGATAATATTTGTTGTTGTTTTGTTTTTTGGTCTCTTCTTATTTTTTACATTTGTATGCGGGTAGCAATTTACACACCGTGAGAAAAAGAAGAAGAATATTCTTGGTTTTTCTGTCAACGTTTCTAGTTTCTGTGTTTCAATTTGTTTTTTGTCCACAGACGAGGGAAAATAGACGACGGTTGCTGATTTCCAATTTCAGATTTTTTTTTGTAATTTACCTTCTTTGTTTGTTTCGTTGACATTGTCATTTTCACTGCCATTCCATTTGAATGTGAAGAGGAATAACAAAATGTTTTAACTATATTTCCTAACAAGAGGTGGAGAATTAAAAAAATCGACGCTGAGGGTCTAGCGAATTTTTTTTCTATACGAAAAAAGTCGACCCTGAGGGTTTCGCGAATTTTTTTCTATA